ATAATCGTTAACTACACATTGCCCATAATGAAGCGATGCCGAGCATGAACCCTCGGTGTTAGCCCATCGCGTTCACAATAGGGGAATTGTGAATGCATTAATTGTTTTCAGCAGATCATTGGAGATTGAACCAAATGATGTATGCACATTGAGAAAAAGGGGAGCTGTCTATCTCTATCTAAAACAGCATGACAATGCATTAAATGATTTCAACAAATCATTGGACATTGAACCAAATGATGCACAGGCATTGAAAAATAGAGGAACTGTCTATCTAGGTCTTAAACAGTATGACAATGCATTGAATGATTTCAACAAATCATTGGAGATTGAACCAAATGATGCATATGCATTGAGACATAGAGGAGCTGTCTATCTAGTACTAGGTCTTAAACAGTATGACAAGGCATTAAATGATTTCAACAAATCATTGGACATTGAACCAAATGATGCAGATGCATTGAAAAGTAGAGGAACAGTCTACCTAGGTCTTAAACAGTATGATGATGCATTAAACAATTTCAACAAATCATTGGACATTGAACCAAATGATGTATACACATTGAGGAAAAGGGGAGTTGTCTATCTCTATCTAAAACAGCATGACAATGCATTAAATGATTTCAACAAATCATTGGAAATTGAACCAAATAATGCATATGCATTGAGACATAGAGGGGCTGCTTATCTAAGTCTTAAACAGTATGATAATGCATTAAATGATTTCAACAAATCACTGGAAATTGAACCAAATGTTGCATTAGCATATACATTGAGAAATAGAGGAGCTGTCTATCTAGGTCTAAAACAGTATGACAATGCATTAAATGATTTGAGCAAATCATTGGAGATTGAACCAAATGATGCATATGCATTGACACACAGAGGAACTGTCTATCTAAATCTAAAACAGTATGGCAATGCATTAAATGATTTGAGCAAATCATTGGACATTGAAGCAAATGATGCTTATACATTGAAAAGTAGAGGAGCTGTTTATCTAGGTCTTAAACAGTATGACAATGCATTAAATAATTTCAACAAATCATTGGAGATTGAACCAAATGATGCATATGTATTGAGACATAGAGGAGTTGTCCATCTAAATCTAAAACAGTATGATAATGCATTGAATGATTTCAACAAATCATTGGAGATTGAACCAAATGATGCATGGACATTGAGAAACAGAGAAGCTGTCTATCTATATTTAAACCATATGTAATACATTAAATAATTTTATTGGAAGTGGAACCAAACAATGCACAGTCTGAAATATTTTTAAATTGCTAACTCACTAGTTGTATTAGTATGTGTAGTTTAGTTGTCTTGTTTTTTATTATTATTATGATTTCATATCTTTCTTATAAGATTACTATAATATATTAAAGTGAAGTTCAACAGCTCTCTATGGTTTTGTAATAAAATCTATATTAGGCTACCTATCTTGGTCTTGAACAGTATAATACTATACTAAATTATTGAACCTAATGATACATGCACAGGTAGAAATAAGCAATTTTGGATTCAATTAAGCCGCTGTTTTGTTTAGGGGTTTGTCTGGAATATGTCTTATAATATTGGCATTCCGGTCATGAGTTATAGGCCGGCAGGTACTGACAACTCCCGTTTTAGTTTATCCATAAAAATAAAACATTTCAGATAATATAATGCTCAACCGACTTGTCGAGTGGGAGAGCGTACTTGTAATGACCTTGCGATTTAACTCTTCAAACAAGACCTTTGACATCTCTATTGATGTTAAATCTATAAATACAGTTAGTGACCTTAGCGTTGGGTTTATTATACTTGTGATGTTAAATCGGTCTTGTATACGTCGATTTCTTTTGATGGGATTAATTTCAAAAGCCTATCGGTCGGTGTACTAAATGCGTATTACAAGAATTAAATAATATCCTGATGTCAAAGATTCCAATAAAATTTTATGGCAAGTTCGATCTCATTCACCGCTTATACGAAAAGGCGTAAAGCTTTACCGAACAAAATGATTTATAAATTTAACACAAATTTATTAGAATATAAAAAACTATTATAAAGGCAAGAAATATATTGAAATAGAAAATTCAAATGATACTGAAGATATCGTTTGCCAACGAAACTATAACTGCTTAATAACTATCGATCGTTTCACTAAATAAAATTAATGGCACGAATTTTCGATAAGACGGGAAAATCACATTTTAATCGAATGGCAAGAATTTCGTTCCAATGCGGCTTATTTTTTTGCCATTGCTGCGTATAGCACGAATGTGCTATGCTACATCTGCTGTATATTAATATACTGTACAGTATCTGTAACATCTCGGATAGAGACATTTGAGAATTATACAGCAAAGCGTCATTTACAATTAACAAGTCCTCATGCTATTTATTTATTTGTCGCATCCCAGAACACATTAAAAAATGGGTTATTCTTGCCAAACGAATATCTGCATCAGCTACACATTCAGACAGTCATATTCCAAATTGTACGGAAATGTGTTATTTCTAATAAGAAGTATTCGTATCGGCCAAATTTCGGGATGCTTATTTTTGGAGGTCACAACTTTGTGTAGGTATCGTAAATATAAAGTCACATGTATATAGAAAAGATTGCTTATGCTTTACTTTCGGAACCAATCGGGATTATTAGTTATAAACTTTACTACGAAAAGTTGTATTACTATTATGGCTAACGGATTTTATCTCGAATGAAGAAGCACAAACCAGGAAATAAAGAAGCGGCAAGGAAGCAATCGAATGTTTTGAAAATATCAAGTATTTGTCAACTAAACAAATAACATACTAAAAAACATCGTGTTTCTCGATAGTCATGCATGACTAAAAACCTTTCTTTTTTTAAATCGACTGAATTAATAGGTTTTTTTATTTCAAATAATTAACCTTAATAAGATAAGCTATGCGGTTGGCAACATATTTAATACTACACGCTAACCATCTAAGGTAAAGAATGCCACACAAACAATAAAAGATCTCCATGATTTTTGTTTATAACCTGTTTCAAGAATGGGGGGGCGGTTGGGAGGGGGATGTCGAGTAACAATAATACACGCCAATGATAAGAGTCTTTGCACTCAAACAAAACTCACCAAATTGCAACGGGAGGGTAAGAACGAAAAAGTACATTTATTACAATATAATACTATTAATACAGTATTCTAATTGCATAGCCCTATTTATAGCGTGCATGAGTCCACCTATTGATAAGAAGTTCCTTCGTGTTACGGTACCATAAAGCAGATGTAGCGCCATTGTTTGGATACACAAAAACTGTACAATCAGCAAATTCAGGCGTAGCAATGACTTTGTTAACAGATTTCCATATTACGTAGCATTGTAATGGAGAAAAAAAAAAGAACTAGAATAATACCCAACAATAGTGCATTCTACAAAGTTTACTGACATGATTTTAATTTCCTTGTTTACATAACTGTATCACCTTACACAACATCAGACATCCGAATGTCTTTATCTTAGATTATTACTAATTACGTCCATCAATACGTTAAACGTCAAGAGAAAAAAAAAGGGGAAAAACGGGTATATATTTATGTTCGGTTAAGTGTTTTTCAGTTCTCACTATGGAATTGGACAAATTGGGCAACCAGAATCGTCTTTGTTATGTGAACAACTGGTTGATTAAGTAAGGCAGGTCTTAAATGCAATGTATATAATAATAATAGTGTGTTGTTACGCATGACAATAGCCGAAATTTTTACAATGGCACAACATTTTTGTAGTCTTTTTAGCCCTAATTTAATAACAAGCTACATTAAGTGCATCCTGTTATTTATTACACAATAAATTATGTATTTAATAACCTTCCTCGCTATACATCAACAACTCGGGCAGACAAAAAAAATCCCGCATGACTCTAAACTCAACTAAAATATAAATATAGAAAAGCTCACTCCCACCTGAAAAAAGGAAAAGAAAAGCCAAGACGACCATGGGACAATTCTACTTATTCATAGCACTGATACTGTTCTTGTCTCAATCTTCCGTATTAAATGCCCAACTATGTAACGGATATAGCGAACTCTGCGGGAGATCCTACGCTGCTATCGCATATCCAGGAACTCACAATTCTTTCTCATATTCCCCAATACCCCTTCCGGCCGAGAATCAATTCCAACCAATTGACAAGCAACTCCAAGCTGGAATCCGCTCGTTTATGCTCGATGGACATAATCCACCCCCACACTCTGAAAACCCAGATGGCATTCACTTGTGTCATACAAGCTGCGCCTTATTGAATGCTGGCGACTCGGTAAAAACCTTGACACTTATTGCCAACTTTTTGAAAAATAATCCAGGCGAAGTTATAACAATAATTTGGGAGAATTTCGATAGTCTTCCTTCCAGTAAGTACCAGGCGGCCTACCAGGCGGCAGGTTTGGATGTGCTTTCGTATGTACAGCCTGATGGACAGCAACAATGGCCAACTTTGCAAGAGCTGATTGATATGAACAAGAGGTGTATCAGTTTCATTGACCACATAGATGCTCTCGATGTGCCGTGGTAAGTCTTTGGCAGGTGACGGGAAATATTAAAAAAAAAAAAAGAAGATAAATTACACTATCATAATAATTGAATCTAATCATTTCTTGTTTAATTTCATTCATGTAAGGCTCCTTCCCCAATGGACCTATATGATTGACACACCATACAACGCCACGGACCCAAGCGGCTGGAAATGTGTTGTTGACCGTCCCGCAGGAGGCACTGTTGATAATATTGCCTTGATTAATATAAACAATTTCCTCAATAAAGAACTTGCACCGGGTCTTGATGTCCCACACCCAGTTGGCGCATCACAAACAAACGGACCACTTCTCCAACAACATTTGGATCAGTGCACAACGGCTTTCGGACGGATTCCTAACTTTATATCAGTTGATTTTGCCAGCAAGGGAGACCTCTACGCGATCGTTGCTAAATTGAACGGCTTACAGCCTACTACTAAGCGTACGGTTAGGCGTCGTCACCATTTGTAAAACAACAAAAAAGTGGGTGTGCGGCAATAGACATAGAGAATATGTTATCTTGTAGAACATTATTTGTAGTTTTAATTTGGGTTTACATATCATTTACTGTAGCTGAAATAGTTAATAATAAACGTAATCGATTGCCTATACTATCTAATGAAATATTTTATGCATGCGTATCGGTGAGATCTGATAGGCTAATATATATTTATATCATATGGCAAAAAATGATTAATGTTGTATGTTGTGTGAAATTTTTATCTATCTATCCAATTACATTACAGAACTTCGTGACTTAAGTCTAACCGAATTTACCCAAAAAGAAAAAAAGTATGATTTGCAAGACCAAATTAACCAAAGAAAACATACTGAAAACGATAAACAATGGAATCTGTTTCAGAATAAAGAAAAAGCGATGAAACAATGGTTACGGATTGCATAGTATAATGTTGGGATACTCAAGAAACCAATTAACGTTTTTACGCATTTTGCGCGTTAGTAATAGTTTCACCAATCATTATTAGTTCACGCGAATGAGAAAAACCAAGTTAAATCTCAACGGGAATGGGGAGACTGGTCGAACGCATGGAAGAGTAAATGCTTATATTATTCTTTTATCTCTGTCCTCACTGCCTGAGACAGCAATGCATGATCACAACAGTGTAAATACATAGACTATTTACTTTGTCATAGGCGACGTTTGCAGATAAAAATCGCGCAAATACATTTTTAATCGCCTACAGTGTGCTCATTTAATATGTTGTCAAGTTTCGAGCATGGAATGTTCATCAAACTTCTATCGCATGTCAAGCTGTCAAAAAAAGGTTAGCAACAGTTTTTCCACAGACGTCCAAAATAGTACGTGTATCATGCTTATAGGGAAGAGTCAAAAGTATACGCTAACTTTGAGACTTGGCTTTTTCCCAGCCTTAATTACGTACCGAGACAATCTCGATGATAGCTGCTGCCTATATTAGATATGAACATTTCGCGCTAGCGATCTTAATAACCGGACCGGAAAAGCTTGTTCAAGGGAGTGTTTCGATCCAATTAGGCAGTTTGTCAAATTATCGTTAGTGTGGCCCAAACCACTTCTATTGAAATCACAAAATCTGCAAGTATCGGTAAATGGCATGATTGCATTAACTTTAGGATCCTCTGGTCGCCCGATCGTGAAGAGCGATCTCTCGTACATATCGATCAACAACAATATGCATAACTGTATTGGTTGCATCGGAAAGCGATCTATATTGTATACATAGTGCAAAAGGACTATCAAGCGTCTTCTTTTCCATGGCCTGTTCAGAGTATCTTGTGACAATCGTCACAGTGAGTTAAAGATGTCCTACGGCATATTAACATTTTTATAATAAATACATATAAATTACATTTGAAAATCTTTTTATGCTGATTGTTCAGATCACATACACCAATGTCAACCACATCATCTTCGTTTCCCAATCTCGATACTCCCGATCGTTCTCACACACCCGATTACACTCGGAAGACGACCCGACACTTGTCTGAATTTGATCCGGATACAACTGCATTATGGGGGCTGGTGTTGTTATTGGGGACATACATTGTTTTCGTTGTCAGTATGTATGCTATCGTTGTTAGTAAGTTGGTACCAGAGACTGGGAACAAGGTAAAGAATGGGAAGATTAATAAGAAAGGACATGGCTGGGGGTTGGAGGCCGGTCAAGGTTTTTCCTGACAATAGCCTACTGTTTGTGTCAGATACTGGATTGGATAAAGCATGATGAATATTATTGCCTTTTGGTCCCTGTTACTTTGTCAGTAACAGTATATGCCGTGTTTTGGAATTGGATGGGCATGAAGTTCTTTAGGCACAATTAGAGCGTAAATCGCAAAAAGCGAAGGGATAGATGCGGATGTGAGGGATCATTCGCTTAATTGATAATTGATATGTAAGTACTATTTCGTGATTGCGTGCTGTGAGTCATGTTCAAGTTGAAAATAAGTGGAGGGCTCTTTTTTCTTTTTGTTTAATTCAAAGAACTTTAAAATACCATCAAGGAAGAATGAATGCCAACATACAAATGAGTTGTGAGTATCTTTTATTAACGATGCTGTTTATTGTATTGTATGTATAGCACGCATGTAGTGTTTTGATTAATTTAATGATAAAAAACCAGTTTTAATGATGAATGACCGAGTATTATAAGTTGAGCAATGCCCCAAACGGCATATATTATATTTCTTCTTTCGTCCATATGAATACCAATTCATTATGTTCAGGGCTTTACCGTTCGACATCAGCCTGTTCAATTACAGAAGCCGGTTTCGATGATGATTCATAAGTGCTAGGCATGATGAAATTAGGTAATAATATTTTGATATGGTTCGTGCACCTCAATGAATTCCAGAATTGCTGCTGTTTAGGATCACGGATTATTTTGGGAATCATGTCTGGTAGCAGAAAAAACAGCAGAGTGGTTAGACAATTACAATCGTGCAAAAAATATCACAGAAATGTTATGAATGCTCACCATATGTAGGCTCGGGTAATGCTCTCATCACTTCTCTTTCCATATTAGTTGAATATTCGATCATAGACTCAAGATACGCAGTAGTAATGAATGGCTCAATCTCATCTCCAATTGATGAACTGCAAGTATGTAAAAACTTCTCCAACAAGTACACCAAATGATTAATAGTGGCAACCTGCAATATTTCGGCTGCCAATGTCTGATCGTAGGCACAAAAGATATCGTCTCTATCAGCATCCTCGCTCCAGTTCTCGTATGCGTTATCCTCATTATCATAGCCAAAGTTGTTATTAGTGGCGACTGGTTGGTCGGATATTCCGTGTATGATGTCTCGCACTACGCTGGACAGGTCAGAAGCGATAACGATTGAACTATGGAAAAACTTGGTGGCATTGAAGACACATGACCATGCTATGTCATATTCTTGTTGACGAACCGAGAGGAGAGTTAGGGTTAGGTAAGATGCAAGTGCTATTTTCTGGACGCCCACTGACGGTTGGCAAGGGTCATATTCAGGTGAAGGAGTGTTGCGTTGGACATCGGCGTCATGCTTATCATGAGTAGTCGTAGTTTTACGAGCCGTATCAATGTCGTCACAGTCGTTGTTAGTACTATTGTTCAACACGGAAATCCATTCATTGATTGATAAAAGAGTATTCTTGGCCCATTTCATCGAATGATCATCGATACCCTGCCTTGACTTTGTAGGTCCGAAAGCCAACATGGCCATCGCACATGAGCCATTAACTAATGTCGTTGATATCCGTTTAGTGACATCTTCTGAGAATAGGTTACGGTTGAGAAGATAGAACGGAAGAGCGTAATAGTCTACTTCTGTGCACCTTGTAATAATAAGATGAAAAATCAAGAATTAAGGCAAATAACTTAAGTAGAATTAATAAATGAATATTGAATTGCTATGGAGATATTGATATCTCATGGTAGTAAAGGATATGATAATAACGTCTCTTCCATATCTTTCACGGGCATGCCCGCTGCTTCGCATATATTATTCAACCCTTGTTTGAGCATTTCAACGTAATCCTGATAAATAGCTTTTCTTTCGAACAATTCCAAGTCTCCCATGATTATAGCAACACCGTCTATAAATTGCTCGGATAATCTTTTAACTAGAGAATATTTATACATTCCAAGATCTTTGTCATGAAGGAGGGTAGTAGTGTTGCAAGCTGAATCATAAGCAGAGTTTTGAGTGGTATTATATTTACTCTTGCCACTACCAAATCCGCCTCCACTTCCACTAAACAGATCAACCGGGCTCCCCAAATACTCTAAACCACTGTCAGGCTCATCAGAAAATATATCTGTTACCAACTTCAAACTTCCGTGTCTGCTCCTCGGAGTCTGTGGCTCACTCCACCCCCAATCATCTGCGCTAACTACTCCGCTCGAGAATATGTTGTCGTTGTTCAAGGGAACGTCGAGAATAGTTGTTCGACGGCGAGAACGCAACCGCTTTAGGGATGATGTCGGACTTGATGGTGAAATTTGTGAAAACTCGGATGAAGCTATGTCCGATGTGAACACCCACGTTTTAAGGAGATGGAGTGCTAACAGTGGGCACCCCATGCGTTCATATGCAAATATTGTACGTAGAACGAGCGTGTATTCGATCTCAGCTGATATTTCGGATGCACCTCGAATTGTTTGAACTGATTTCTCCTTTAGTTGTTTGTACAATACTATTAATGCTGCATCATGGGACGATGTATCATAAGTACTAGTGGGTTGGTAGTGTCGTAGGTGCAATTCGTCCAATGGAAGCTGCAAGTGGAAAAAGAGTGAGTATAAAACAATGGGTAATACGAGGCTAAGCACAAAAGTACTTTTAATCCACCCAACACCTTCACTTATTCACATTCTTCTTTATACTCACCATAGTAGCCTTGATAGCTCGGTCTCTCTGATTCATAAACCAGTAAACTATATGGGCCAACCATCTGTCTTTATTTTTAACTGCAAGTGGAATAACATAGTCGTCAAACACACTCTTCAACACTGGCCCATCATCACCTTCGTACACACGACAAATGGCAATAGCCAGCTGGAAGTCGTCAAGATGTTTCAGGCATACATTCACAGCATCTTTCAATTTATTGCCAAGAAGAAAGAACGCGGCTGCATACTCTGTTTTAAAGAATATTTATGTTAAGCCTAGTCCAAATCTAGTGCAGAATGTCATACGCTTCCTGACGGCTGCGATTATGATAGATATAACATACCATATCGTTGTTTTCCAAGTAGCGCAAAAGCATTCTTCAGCGCAGCTGTCTGCCACTTTGGCTCGTCGAAATCATTAGCCAGAAACTGGAGATGTTTAGCTTGTTCTTTGTGACTATTGGCCGTCCTCCAGAGTCCAAGCAGTAATTTCTTTTTTCTCAATGCCATGTAAAACAGTGAACTGCTGGTAGGATCTCTGTCCTCTAGATATTGGTTACGGGCCATTAATTCCATTTGTTGTCGCTGAAATAAACATGAACAGAATCATATCAGATAACTCTATCGGTATGTTTTGACAATTAATATGCTTCACATTGTACACTGCGTTCGTTCTTACCACAGTCTCAATGTTCCTAAGCCATAAGAATATTCCATGGTTCCTTGCATCCTTCCATAAAAATTTACCACCGGATGCAGCAATACTGTATTCAATTAACAGATCCTAGTAAATGCATAAGCAAGTGTACAAGCCAACCATCATAAATATTAAATGATAGGTACTTCAACGCTCGCTAGCAAATTTAAAGACGATACACTCTTACCTGTGATTCGCTGTGCAGTGCCCAACTCATGTCACGATAGCTCAAGCCAGATTCCCGAGGAACTCCCGAGAGTGAAGCACGATTTAAGTAATGATATCTTCGCATAAATATGACGTATCGTACACCATTCTCATCTAAACTACGTTTTTGACTTTCAACCTGTTATGTTGTGACGTGAAAAAAAAAGTGTTTGATATGAACAAGACAATTTATATGAAATATTCAATCCTAAGCCTAGAATCAACATACCTGCATTATTGTGTTGACAAGTGCAAGCAACTGAGCCTGTTCTATGTTTGATAGATCCGGTAATGATACTTTTTTCAAATGTTCGCTTAAAAAATCGGCTTCCTCCTCAGTGAATTCAAAAACTCCCGAATGTGAACTATTGGATAAATCAAAATTATTAACATTTATGGACCTTGTATGTCTAACAACACAGAATGAACAGGAGAAATACCTATCACCATCGCTATCATCTCCAAACAGCTCACTATATCTACTCTTTTTTGGAGTAACCGCCGGTGGCTATGTTTTAACATGTAATGAACTCTTAGTAAGGATTTCAGTTGTCAATACACATTCAGCGGTATGTCTTACCGAATCTTCTTCAAATAATTTATCAAAAGGAACCGGAAGAATTCGCGTAATTGGCCTCTTCGCGTCAACGAGGAGTTTCAAGTGATTATATAGGTGTACTAGGACTAGCTTAACGAGATCCATCTTCCCTAAAATATTAACCAATGCATGAACATTTGAGCCTGCTCACCATTGACGACAAAGTCTGACAATACTTACCCCATAATAAGTATTGAAGAAGTACGCTCGGATGATGATGGGGCAGCGGCCCGTTCACATGGCTAACGGCATGAAATATAGTAGGAAGCTTTTCATTGATCCCAGTCATTCTGGAGACTAAATACAAAAACACGGTTAACTTGAATCGTATTAAAACAACTTTAACCAATCAAAACTAAATTACCTTGGCGAAGCTTTGCTGCATTCATCCACTTGCTATAACATCTCAGTTGATTACCAGATGCTACTACTAACGTTCCGCTGCTTACCCAAGCAATGGCTGATACCGACTGAGACGCACTTTGGATTTAATAGCAACCAGTAATTCAGTGACAGTAATAATATAAGAGGAATATGCAAACGGCATATCGCAATAGAAGAGAAAGTTAACGTCTGTAGACGTGATATACTACAAAATGTATTGTAGTAACATATCTTACAGTGGTATTTGAATATCAGTTAATGCGATCCAACATTCTCGCACTAGAGTGTCAATCTTACGGAGTCGTGTATAGATTGTTATCTTTTGAGCAGATGCAACTGCCAAAACGAGCCCTCCGCACGAAGTATATAGCCAATCGACATCAACTATCGTTTCACTGTATGAGCAGCAATAGTATTTTCAGTAGGAAAAAGCAATAATGGGCATGGATGATCGGCAACACAAGCGTTGATAGCACAAACCTTGACTCTATAACATATTCCTTCAGCGATGGCAGACGAGGAGTTATAGCTTCCCAGATGCTAACCTTATCTCTCGCTCCGCTTACTACCAATACCAAGTTTATATACATCAATATCCTATCCGCCATGTCGTCGATAATCTCTCCAAAAACCACTCACCTAATGCAACTTTATCTTCGGGCCCGCACTTAATCTTCCATATCCCGT